ATGCGTAACACCCATGCAAACTCAGACCAGACAAAAACCCTGCTGGGGAAATGGATAAAAAGCCCCAACCTTAGCAGAGGAACTATTGACAGCAGATCACTGCTGTGTGAAGAGTTGGTCTTGTTTATAGGAGTAACTCTACATAGGCTGACCAGGCTCCAGTGGATGAACTTGCACTGAGTGACATCTGGGGACACAAACTTGACTCAATAGGCCTTAACATACACAACAGAATGCATGAAGTCCAATGTGAGGAGCTATGGAGGGGTAAAAATAGGAGAGGGGGGGTTTATATATGTTTGATATATTATGTGTATTGTATGAAATGCATAAAAATTCAATAAAAATACATATTTAAAAAAGAGAACTTTAATAAGTATAGTTTTGGATCATGAGGTGCAAGCGAATAGGAAAGAAGCTGCTGGAGGGACAATAGGGAGACCTCTGCTGGGCCAGCCTTTCTGAACCTCGGGCCCAGGACTATCCTTGCATATTGCCCCACTGCAGGCTGGCATGCCCCCAGGACCTCAGCAAAAGGCTGTTTCTCTCTTTGCCCATGATCCTAAATCTGTTATCATCATAAAAGACCAGATTACTGATCTTTTGTCTAGGTAGTCAACAGTCAATAAAGACTCTTGTTAGGATAATGTTTTATTCTAAAATTTATGTGTATTAATAGAGTTACTATTAATTGGCTGATAATGTAGTCTATTCATAATGGGAGATTTTCCTATATAATAAAGCAGAGGCAAGCATGTCTTAGACTAAAACTGAAACAAGCACCTAATTAGTTTGAAGCTAAAGTTGCAATAAGGGCTACAGAAAGTAGTGTCTGCAGCAGCTGCGCAAGGCCTAGCATAAAGCCAGTAAACATTCCAACGTGGATGGGAGAAGGGCTTATGGGACCCTCACCACACCTGATGGCTTCTAGGGGACGGAGAGCCATTTTTTTTTCTCTGGGGGTGTGGTCACTGGTACACTGCCCAAGCTCCCTACATGCATGTGCATATGGGATAAATGTATTTAATGGGTTTTTTAAAAATGAAGAGGACTTGAATGGAAGGGACACATTGCAGGTTGGGCGGAAGGAAGTTAGAAGGGGCATTTGCTAGATATGATCAAAATACATTGTATACACATATGAAGTTCTTAAACAATAAATAAAAAGATTATATTTTACCAAATAAATGTGTCATTGTATTTCTTCATTCAAATCAGTTCACAAAGAGCCATTGACTCTGGATTAGTCAAGCACTTCACAGGCCCATTCCATTTCAGTCCAAAGTCTGGGCAGAGAGGCTTGCCTGTCAGTTGTTAGAATTTTGAGGTCTGCTTGACTTTTGGTCGATAGTTTAAAATCAGCCATAGGGGGAATATTTATAACAAGGGTTTTGGCCAACACTGCAAATTTAGGGTTGTTTTCTTAAATTTCCTAGTAGTAGGCATTGATTTCTCAGAACACCATTGTCTCAAATTACCTACACTACATATGTGACTCAATGGGTGTTTGCAATTGTTTGTTCATTTCATAACCCATATATATACAAAAGGATGGGTGAGTGGCTGGGTGGCTAGAAAGGTGAGGTGAGGGAGGGCAAACACATGAATAAATAGTGTGGGGCCCATGCTGCTGGGACATCTTTCCTTGAAAGCAGGAATGCCCTGAAGGTGCTCAGGAACTAATTCAGTAATACATTAGCCTTCCTTATATAACAATATCTCATTTTCTTTTATTACAAACTCCTAAGCTATTTGCTGGAATTTAAGCTCACACTATATACTCTAGATTAATAAGATCAAGTTGTCCTTAAGTCTTCTCATTATGAGTCATGATAATTTGGAAATGGAACCTTAAAGGTGGAATAGCCCTCAGGAATAAGCTCCAGGGTGCTCCTGAGAGATGGCTGGTGGCTGATGGTTGGGTATAGATCAGTGACAGCCCAGGTAGTTGTATGGTATGCTCTTGTCTGCCTATGTGTACACACACACACGTCATCATGTACATGGGTGAGATTATGTTGTCCATAAATGGTCTTGAGACTGCCAGTGGTGGGATTGTGATCCTAGGCAGAGCTGGTCCCCAGGAGGCAGAGCTCCACTGACACAGTGGGGGCAGATTTTCTCTAAGGTTTTGGGATGAAGCATCATTGATAGTATCCCTATGAAGTCACCTTCACATTCTTGAAGCTGTTCTGTGAATACCCCTTCTTTCTGTCTTTAAAATACCAGATGATGCAGTTCCAAGGAAAATTAAAATTCCTGTTTGGACAGAAGAAGAAGGCACCATCAGGAACAGCCCTGCCCCCTCAGCTCTCACTGTTCTGCACTGTGGTGCCAGTCCTGCCTTCCATGGCTGAGATGAAAATGAAAAGTGCATTATTGAGAGCAAAACACAGGGCAGACATTGTCGCCAGGACGGACTCCAGGTAAGCATGAATCACCACATTATGTCCATAGACCATAACAGCAACATGTCCCATATGTAATTTGTTTCATTTTTCCAGCAAATAATGGGAAGTTTAGTACCTTTAAAGCTAGTATACAATGTACATTGCAACTATTAGGAAAACGTATCTTTCAAAATCATGCAGATTGTGACACCAGGCACTGTGGTTATAACTGCTCCAAAGCTGCCCATTCAGAGCCAGACTCAGAGTAAGCCCTCAAGGAGAGGTCAGGGTGGGCCTGTCATCACTATGGGCCCTGCTTCCTCCTCATATAGTCTGTTGGTGTAGGGCACAACACAGACATCTAATGGTTACATCCAGGGTGTCTATGCCCGCTTGCTAGGCCCCAGCCCTGTCTGGTCAGTCCTGGGCATTTTCTCAATTTCAGAATTCTGTAGAAAATACTCCATATTAAGTTTTCTGGGTGTGTTTATGGTTCATCGATCCATTTCCAGGAGTGATTTAAAATGCTGTACATATAAAGTGATTTTCTACCTTATGAGGCGACAAGGGGGTATGAGGCCAGAGGAGGGGGTTAGGTGACAAGGTTGCCTAATTCTGACTTTGATTCCCCCCATAGATTTGTGGGTAACACCTTCTCCTGATCTACTATAGTAGTTCTATAGTCGTAGCCAAAAGACCCCCAAATCCCTAACTACTTCTTTGTTATTCAGTAACTGGCCCCAGGCCTAACCAAGTTGCCCCCCCTCCACCTGCCAGAGCCTACTGAGATCTCAAGACCTAATGTGGCTGCTGTATTAGAACAGCTGAGCTGGGCTCTCCATTGATTTAGAATTGAACAAGTAGTTTCTGTTATAACCTTAACCCTAGCCCTAACCTTGGCCATGGTATACCTCTCATAGAGGCAGTTGTGAGCTCTGGTCTGGACTTGGTTGCTGGAAGAGTGCTGTGGGGTTTGGGACAGTCATCCTCTCTGGTGGTTTTTTTCCTTCCCAGAGCAGAGTCTCCACAAGGGCAGTTAAGATGCCCTATTGGGCCATTTCAGGAGACAGTGCCCAGTCTACTGGCCTCCCCATCCTGACATGAGGATGTCATGCCCCAGTCCTCCTCTTGTGACATTGCTACTAAGGGCCCCTCATGACCCATAGGCTACTTTGGGTCTACCCTCAGGTCATTTCCTGAAAGGGTTCCTGTTTTCACAGTAGCACCAGACCCCCCTCTTCCCCTATCCTTTGTGGGCTCTCTGCTGTAATTCAGTAATATATTACCCTTCCTTATATAAAAATATTTCATTTTCTTTTATCACAAACTCCTAAGCTATTTGCTGGAATTTAAGCTCACACTATATATTTTAGATTAATAAAATCAAGTTGTCCTTAAGTATTCTTATTATGAGTCATGATAATTTGGAAATGGAACCTTAAAGATAGAATAGCCCTCAGGAATAAGCTCCAGGGTGCTCCTGAGAGATGGCTTGTGGCTGATGGTTGGGTACAGATCAGTGACAGATCTTTGCCCAGTCTCTTGCTCAGCCCTGGCCCTTGGTCTTGGTCTCAGTTACTCTTGGAGAAGTCCCCTTAACCTTCGCATCAATTGTTTTCCCACTTTGCAGGATGGTAAACACTGAGTGGGAAGGAAATCTCAACAGGCTGCTAATGCAGCACATGCATGGGATCTGTTAACTGGACCCTAGGAGTGATTTGCCAAGACTGCACAAACCCCGAGGCATGACGCTCCACCATATGCAGTGTGCACATTCAGAAGATGCTTCAGTGAATCTGACAATGCCCTGTCATTTCTGCCCTTCTTTCTTAGCTATCTTGGTCTGTTCATCTTGCTCCCGGATTGTGCTTTCCAGATGTTTCCCAACTCAGACAACTTTCATCTGGACATATGAAGTGACAAGGGATAGTCACAACAGAACCAGAAATGTAGATTAAATGTAGACTGAATGCAGATGGTCATTTCTTTTTCTAAACCCCTTTACCTTTAGAAATACTACTCCTCGTGGCAGGCTTGTCCTGTTACCTTAAGTAGCAGTCTCTGCTATTGTTTATACAGATCTGTGCTGCACTGTGCTTTCTGACTTGGCTTTTGGTCTTATCTGCATTCCTTTTCTCATCAGCACTAGATTTCACTTTTCAGATTTGGACTAGTCCTGAGTACCCAGCCTGGAGGGCTCAAACCAGGACTTCACATTGCCCAGTGCCTTTAACTCCTTCTCTGTGAGGCTATTTGACCCACCTGCCTTGTCCTTGTGGCAAGTGCACAGTCACTAGGCACTTGCAGCTTAGCCTCTGGTTGCCCACCAGACCCCAGATGCTGGGGGGTCCTTGCTCTAGATACTCCCTGATGATCAGATACCCAGTGTCCATCCACTCATTAGAGCCAGTCTTGAGAACCTGGCCTGCCTAGCAGCTGATGCCAGCAGCTGTTCAAGGCCAGCATCTGAGGCCTGCTGCTCTTCCTCTGTGTGTGGTTTCATCCTGCCACAGCATCCATGATAGGCCTCCAGCTTCTGCAGATGTGTGCACAGCAGTGGTCACTTGAAGGTTTTCTTTCTGTGCTTTGATTTCCTAGGTTTGTTATTCTCAGTTCTGTTCCTGCCTCACACTCCACAGTCAGAGGCACACCCTCAGTCTCCTGTGTGCAGGACAGAAGGAAATAGCCTCCAAGGGCTGGTGCTCTGGACCAGCAAGCTGAGAGTAACAGACTTCTAGAGCTTTTTTATGTTTATTCTAAACTTATTAGTGTACTGTTTATTTTTTATGACACAACATATAAAAAGCAAAGGAGAAAGAATAAGGCCAGTGGGGACAGTACCTAAATGCCATGGCTCAGCCAGAGCCCAGTGGTCTGCAGAGGTGAAGGTCTTTAGAAGGTCGGGATACATCACATTCAAAGGTTCTCTGCCTTCATTTACTCTGAATTTTCTATTTTAAAAGGCTAATTGGCTTGTTTTCATCAGAGACAACACAAATTTTCTCTTTCCTGTATGCCCTTCCAGCCCTGAAAAGAAGCTCCGGGGACCCTAATGCTGGCCTCAGAGCTGGGCTTGGAGAGTGGTCTCCAGTACATCCTGACATCCAAACAAGAAAGTAGTTTCTGGTACCATCCCACTATATCTTGGGAGCAAGGTGGGCACAAGGATAGGAAACAGGCCACCATCCTTTCAGATGGGCGCCTACATGGGTTTGTAGGGTTTCTGAAGACAACAGCCCTATAAATAGATATGTACTATACAAAATACTAAGACTCCTGAGAGAACCTGGAGCTCCCGGTGTTCAGGTTCCTCCTCCTCTGCTCTGAGTTGAATTCAGAGGTGTTGTCAGCTATCATACCACACAGTTCATTCACTGAAGGTGCAGAGATGATGGCACCATGCTCTGCTGACTGGCTCTGGGAGCAGCTGTGTGGGTCATTGCAGGAGCAGCTTTTGTCTCTCACAGCTTTCCTGACAAGGATTTTGTGGTAGCTGTTCCTCCTCTTCATTCCTGCAGCCTGCTATATTCTTTCATCTATCTACTAAAATCAATTTCACATCTCCAAATCAGAACTCGTCACACTTTTGTGATCATCCATAGATGCACAGTGACAAATAATATGATTCTCAAATGTGAATTCCCACAAGTGCCATAGCAGGACAGGCCACCTCTCTCTCTGTCTCAGCTTCCTACAGACCTCAGGCACAAAGAGGTAAGCCACACAGCATGGACCACTCTGGCATGGTGAGGTCAGAGAACAGGGTTTGAACTCCAGCACTGACACCCAGTAGTAGGGCAGTATCAGGCAAGTCACTTAAATTTCTCCTTTGAAAAGCAAAATTAATCTATCAGGGTGATTCAAGACAAAACTTAGGGCAAAAGTCCCTGGTTCCAGTAGCTGCAGAAAGCCAGGGCTGGGCCACTCATCCCAGTATGCCAATTGAAGAGACCAGTAATGGCAAAAGCACAGGAAGCTTGTCAGTGTGGCACTCTGGAGACAGGAACATTGAAGGGGACCATCTTCTGGGCACTGATGTGAGCTTTCGGCTTAAATAAAGAACTGAGGTGGTGGCAAGAGGTATGCATAATAAAGCAGTCCTGGGCAAGGCGTGGTGGTTTGGTAAATCTTGTCTCAGTTCTGGTTCTGCAAAATGGTCTGAAGAAGTCCTTATTGCTTGAGGGGATAAACTAATTCTCCAGAGGTGATTATTCTCCAGGTTGAAGCCCCACTTTCATAGGTTACTTCCCTCATCTAGGGGGTATTCTGACCTATGAGGCCTCCCTGTTGCTGGAATCCAAGGTGTCTGCAGTTTTGGGACAATGACTAGACAGCTTTAGGCACCTTTGGGGAGTCTGAAGCACTGTAGAAAGCTGACGGCAAAAAGTCTCCATTACTCTTATCTTTGTATCTTCAGCCTTGACAGAACTGAGAACACTCACTGTATGAGATCAGAGAAAGAGTGATACTTGTGGTGAGGATAAGTAGCCCCAGTTTCTAGACAGACACCCTTTGAATGATTCCTTGTGTGCAGAAGTGACCGGGATATCCAAAGTAAAGGACGCATATAAAATGAAGGCAGAGATGCCAGGCTGCTTTTAGTCCTCTTGTGGACCCAAGTGAGTTTTGTTTTAAACAAGCAGCTTCTTAGAGCCTATTATATTAAAACTTTCATTACCTTCCACACATATACATATATTTCCCCTGGGAATAGTGGCTTAGTGATCACTAATTCATTGGTCATAGTTAACTATATAGATCGTCCTTTAATCACAGGAGTCAACTGAATTCTTCTTCTGACCTTTTGGGGAGGGAAATGCAAGCTCTAAAAGCCACCTATATGTCATCTGTTTTCTGAAGTAATTCATTAGCATGGTGTTGGCTCTAAAAGTGACATGCTTCAGAATTTTCAGGTATCTGTAACCAAGTAAAAACTTCACAATCTATAAGGATTGAAAGTGTGGTTAGTTTCTATCTTCTACCTCTTGGGCACATTAGTGATATATGTCTTGCTAATTCCTTCCATCAACACGTTTAACCTATATTAATGTTGCTATTATCTGTTCTCCACAGGGCAAAAGCTGTTACAAGTCTTTGTGAAGCAGAATTTCATCCCAAACCCAGTTACTTAGCAGGTACTTCTAAAAACCTCATTTTTTTTCTCTTTTCTATATGGTAAGCAGTTTTTGTCCCTGGGAGAGCTCCATCTGCCCACAGAACCTGCTTCTTCCATGGAGATGCCACCTGGGAGGGACCAGCATGAATTCCATTGGGAGAATTGCCTGTTGCTGTCACTCTGGTCCTGGTCTCAAGAACTCAAGAAGTCATGCTGCTGAGAACAAAGCTACTCCTCAGCCCACATGGTGATTTCTTTTCTCTCTCTAAATTCTAACAGGAAGGAGCAATGGAGAAAACAGCATTTCGGTGTTCAGGGCACAGATGGATAGAGGTCACTGGGCTCGGGCTCTAGCCAGGCCCTCATGCTTGTGCCTCAGAAGTGGTCCTGATCTCTTCTTGGACCCCAAGGGGGCTTCAGGGTAAGTGGTGCCAGGCTTCCCAGCCCCTGTCCCTGGTTAAGACATTGTGGCTGCCAGAGTGAGGGGCAGGGGTCAAGGAAAGAATTGATGGCCTGAATACTTGTGTGCTTCCAGACATCCTCCCAGCCTGGGAAGCAAGCACAATCAAAGAGGAGTGTGTTTGGCTCAGAAAGCCCTTCAGGTCCAGGCCCTTCTGTAGCCACCCACTCACCCTCCCATCCCACCCTGACCAGGACTCCCCTTACCAGACTGGGTGTTGTGTGGAGGCCTCCAACCACTGTCTCTCATCACATAGTTGCTAATCCTAAACTCACACCATGTTATAAGTCAGCCGCACTGCTATGTTAGTCATGATCATATGTCTGATGCACTACACCTGTCTGTGTCCAGAGATGTCATCCTGTATCAGGGAGAGCAATATGCTGCCTGGGTACCTAGGGGCTGAGGAAGGTGAAGCAAGGGAGGCTCTTCACTGGCCCCTCAGACTGGCAGTAAGTGGCTGAAATGGACAGTGTGGTCTGGAAAGCCTTGATGCTTCTCCTGGAGATTTAGTTGATGTCGTGCTAAGTTGTCATCCTCTCATAAAGAGGCCGAGTCCCCCAAAGGGGTGAGAGCACCACTTCTGTTGTAAAGTCCAATGGCTGTCTTTTCTCTGAAGGGACAGAGAAGAAGAGGATCAAGAGCCCATTCTAAGGGGATCCCCTGGAGCCAGGGGACAAAGGGAAACACACCGGTACAATCGCTGTTCAGACACACCAGCACCTTCGAGGCACCTGAACTGGAGCACAGAACAGCACAGTCAGGAGGGCTCTACCAAATTAAGTCGGCAGCCCAGCAAGACTGAACCATCTGCATGCCCTGTGTCCCATGGTTCTTCTCTTCCCTACCCCAGTACCCAGGACATGTTCAGTGCAAGTGGCATGGCTTCTTTCAGAGATTCACCAGACCATTCTGCTGGTGCCTACTGCAGCCAGATGAACAGACCTTTGCAGGACATCCACCAGAGCCAGGGGCATCCTCCCCCATGTCATGTCCCTCAGGGCAGCCTGGGGACCAGGTTCCCTCTGCCCAGAATGCAGCGCTTCACAGCCAGGGATTTCTCCACAGAGGATGCAAAGTTATCCAGTCTACCAGTAACCATAGGCACCCCATGTAATCTAGCATTGTCACTGGAAGTGCCGATCAAGATGGAAAATGAATCTGGGCCCCAGGACATAGTAGATGGCTGTACCCCTCGCCGGGCGTGGCTGGGAGCCAGCGACATGGCCAGGAAACATCTGGTCAGTTTCCCTACCAGGATGCATCTGAAAACAGAGCCAGACTGTAGACAGCAGGTCTTCACCCCACACCCTGGGCATGGTGTGCTGGAGGCGAGTCAACACAGCAGGGCCACTGTTGGAACTCACAGGGAGCTGGGCCCTCTCTACCCTGCACATTGTGCCTGCTTGGAACCAGAACCTTCCCATCACCTCTGCATGTGGGGCCACAGTGACAGCCAGTACTCCACTCTGAGCTGTGACTGTAGAGCTTCTGGTATGGCCCCTGTTGTTAAGCGTGAGCCCTTGGACTCACCTCCATGGGCTACTCCTGGCCAGGTATCTGTGCCCAGGATGTTTCCCAAGAGTGCCTCTGTGGCATTGATCCCACCCAGAGCCTCTGAAGGAGGTTTTCTACCTTAAAGCTGCTCCTGTGCTAATCTTCAGTCCCTGGATGATGGGCTGTGATCGAAGATTCTTCTAGTGACATCTTCTGCAGAGCTGCATGAGGCTGAGATTCCCTGCATGTAGCTGAGCAGTAGAGCATCCTGAATCATATAGAGTATTTAAGGATTCTCACATGTAAACCTAAGTCTGTTCAAGATCACAACATTTCTCTTTGAGCCGTTAAAATGTTTAAGGAAGTTGCCAGGTGTGGTGGTGCACACCTTTAATCCCAGCACTCAGGAGGCAAAGGCAGCCAGATCTCTGTGATTTTGAAGCTAGTCTGCTCTACCTAGAGAGTTTCAGGCCAGCTGGGGTTATATAGTGAGACCCTGTTGCAAAAGAAGAGGGGGAGCGTTAAAATGTTTAAGGAAGTTGCCAGGTGTGGTGGTGCACACCTTTAATCCCAGCACTCAGGAGGCAAAGGCAGACAGAGCTCTGTGAGTTCAAGGCTAGCCTGGTCTACATAGCAAGTTCCAGGTTAGGGGGCTACAGGGAGATCCTGTCTCAAAAAGACTAAAAAATGTTTAAGGAAGTTATCCCATACTGGACAAGCCTCAGCTGACAGTCAAGAGATACTCAGTATAATGCTACTACTACCTTTTGTCTATAAAGCAGCAGGGGTCCTGTGGTTTTGAGTCAGAATCTGAGGCCACACTTGGCATAGGGGTGATCAGTGAAAATCTTGTCTCTTCTGGTGTTTTCTGTGGGCCTCTGAGGATGGCAGCGGTGTCACTGGGCATATCACATGGTGGAGGTTATAGTGTCCAGACCAGGAGCACAGTGAAATACAACACAGAGAAAAAGATGAAATTATACTGTTAGGGAGGCATTGTTCCTTTTTCTTGTCTATAGAGATTTCAGTTACAGGCTCCAGTTGCCAGCTTGGGAAGACTTAGAGACAAGTTGCAGCAAGTATTTGTTTTTTATTGTGAAGGTAATCCACTCTGCTTATAGGAAATTTGGATACAAAGCATAAAGCAAAAAGGGTCACCACAAACCAACTGCAAAATTATTTATGGCTGGTAGTGCAGTTGATTGTTACAGAAAGGGGCTCATACCAGAGAGCCTGCTCCGTTACTAGCACAGGGTCAACTGAACAGGAGGAAGCCAGGCAGCAAGGAGCTAGGAGCCCACCGCTGCTCTGCTGGTGTGGTACAGATAGTCTTCCTCAGGGTTGGCCATCTACCTCTGATGTCACTTCCCCTGAGGTCTTGGGAATGTCAGGACCCTACTGGAAAGAACCCATGACTGTTCCTACCTACCGAGTATTCTCTCCAGTAAAGACTTTCTCTCCTTCACTTGTGTTCCAGGATGTCACTGCTCAGCCACTGGCTTAGGGCAGAAGCTATTTGGTAAACACCTATCACCTTGTCAGAATCAGGTTGGGTGGGGAGGGATTGGATCTTTTTCCCAGACTCTAAGTTGTCTGGCTCTTAGACAGAGATAGGGATATCTCTAAGACAGGGATAGGCCTGAAGATCTCCCAGAACTGAGAACATTCACTGTATGAGATCAGAGACAAGAGTGATACTTGTGGCGAGACAAGAGCTGTCACAGATATAATGTGTGTGCATTCCTCCACTCCAGGAGCTTCCCCATTACCTGAAGCCGGAAGATAGGATAGTGGCCCAGCCCTAACATCTGTGCTCAGCCATCTGCTGCCTTCCTCTCTCCCAGTTGTTCCAGCCCTACTTTACTTACTTCTACCAAGCACAGCTCACCCTGTTCTGTGGGTGTTTATGAATTTAGTCTTAAGGGAGTGGAATTTGAGTCTCTTTAGCACTTCCAGTTCTAACCATGACCCCATTGCCTGATAGTAGAGCATGCTCAAACCACTCAAGCATCTGCCATTCTTGTAGTCCCTCCTTCAACTATGTCCATCCTTAGTCAACCTCCGTATCACCTGAACTTTCTACAGAGTGATACCTTCCTACCTACATTGGGGGCAGAAAGCACAGCAGACAGCATGGAAAATATGTCCCGAGTATCCTGGAGCTAGTGATTGAAACCTTTAAAAAGTGCCCAAGAAGATAGGATTTAAACATATCATTGAGCGTGGTGGTACACACCCCAGCACTTGAGAGACTAAGGCAGGAGGATCAGGAGTTGAAGCCCAGCCCAGGCTACATGATACCCTGTCTCAAAAAATAAAACAAAAAATTAAAATAAGTATCACATATGTTTACCAATTGTAGCCAGATCCTCAGTACTTTGATAGGTAAACAAAAAAGAGCTTTGGACCTCCTGAAGCCCAGACATCTCCTGCTCAGGTCCTCCCAACCATTAAGATGTATCTTATCTGCACCCTTGACTGGATGATTAACTAAATGTGGGGTGTGGGGCAGCTTGACAAGGACATAGGCCTTTCTGAAGGCCAGGCTTTGTGCATTCTACATCTGGATGTTAATTCTGAAGATTTCATATTTTGGGAACACTACATTACATGGTGGGCTCAGATACACAGAGGTTGCTCCTGCTTTAGGACACTACCAACCATGCTAACTACAGGCTCAAAATTTTCTGTGCTATCTAGTTTTTACCTGTGTGACTGAAAAATATCCAAATCAAATATGAAGAGGGATGGGTTGGGAGGGGATAAACAAAAACTCTCTTTTATTTTACTGGAAGTCCTCAGGATCTAGACTTGCCTGGTGAACTTTAAACAGATACGTATAATGCAGCTTTTTGTGCTGTTTTCTTAGTGCCTTTAACAGAGCATTCAAATGTATTTCTCATACTGTGGTTTGTATTAAATTTGGAAAACTGATGTAAAATAAACCCTACATTCCTATGTGCTTAGTGAAAGAGGAAATGTGTGCTTCTTCCTCCACAGTGTATTTTTGGACTGACTTACATTTTCAGACAGTAGAAGGGCACAATAAATCTAAAAATAGAAAGGATGAAGCTGAGGGTTGGGGTTGGGCTCTCCTCTGCCATCACTGGGGTTGGCACTGCTCATGGTACCCTCAGGACACCCAACTCACATTGCCTGTGAACAGTGAGGACGGCATAGCAGAGGGCTCTTTTCATTCAAGGATATTTTTCACTTATCATGCAATAGCGACCACATTATAAATCCTTTTCTTTATGGATTATACATTTTGTATGTTCATAACTGTCTGACTTGACTTTTGAAAGAATCTAGACCATTTGATGCTAATGTCACCCTCACAAGCTTTCTCAGGACTCATTGGCTACTGTGACAAGCTTCCTCCACTCCTAACCCTTCTGTTTCCTTATGTTTTAGATTCTTATAACAATCTCACTGTTTAATCGATTTACCTGTGCTCTAATTATTGATTGTTTGAACATATTTCTATTTCCCATCCTGTTTTGATTATATGTGACTCATTCTCTCCTTTATTATCTTCTTTGCTCTCTAGAATCTTCTGTACCCTCTTCTCTAATTTCCACTTGTTTGGAAGCTACAATTCTGTTTTCTTGCTGGCCATCCTTAGTGCATATTTAACATCTAAATTGTAGCTAAGCAAGATCTCTTTATTTTGAGAATGAAACCAGGTCTTGGCTACATCAGAGCCTGCTCCCCTGAGCTTGCTTCTGTTGAGATTGAGGGGCCCAAAGAGCTCCTCTGAGTATGCTCTGCCAAAGGCTGGGCCTCAGTACTACACTTCAGGTTGGGAAGAAGAAATTTACCCCCAGTGAAATGGGAACCCGGAGCTCTGTGCCTTTGGAAACTTTCCCTACCCGGATACAACACAGCCATAAAGCTTTCTAGTCATCCCCAGGATAGACTGTTTCTGTTGTGTTTCTGGACCCACCCTCTTACTGAAGATGCCCAGAGCTGAGCATGTGGGTTTCCTGTAGGAGTCTCCATCTTTTCTTCTCTTGCTTAAACCTGAATCCCTTCCCTTGCTCTGGGTGGGTGTAAAGTCCCAGCCTTGGATTATAGGCCACTTATTTTCCCACCCACCTGTCTGCTCCAGGGCAGCAGAGCCTTTACTCTCACTTTCATTGTCCCGTCCCCTTTGACTTGGCCCTGGTCACTCCTATGCCTGCCTATGAATTCACTGTACATTCAAAAGTATACTTAGTATATTTCTCCAATGCCCCTGAATGTTTTCTGAGCATTTTCGCTCTGTGGTCTACTGAAAAACAGAAGTCAAGAAAGATTCTTAATCAGTTTTTCTTTCTTTTAGTTTTAAAAAAACAGAATTTGGGTCCTTCACTGAAGCATTCCATCTTTAGGATAGTTAACTAAAGAAGCTGATGGGGAGCCCTACAAGTAAACTCTCTACTGGATCTTGACAATGAGTCTCTTAATAGCAAATGTTACTATATTTTGGCTTTCTTGGCAACTTTTTTCATTAAAGACATCTTTACAGTTATAATTTCAAATAATTTTAACTTTTCCCTTATATCTCTTCATTGCTCAACTTGTTGCTATGTTTTCAGGAGTCATGGGGTAAAGATAAAATCTTAAAGTTAGGGGTCAGTCATTAGAGTTAGTATAGCACTGAAATCTTGCCCCATCAGCTGGTCAGCTAGTGGGCATATGTGTGTGGTTGGTATTTAGAGAAGGTACCTGCCTTCTGGCTCCCTCATACTGCCTTTCAGACTCTTCCTTTTCTACTTCCTTGGCTGACCTTCAGGAAAGACACACAATTTAGTAGTTGGGACAGTAGTTGGAAGATTTTCTTTCCAATTGACACATTAAAGCAAGAGCTTTTACAACAAACCCTGACATCTTGGTGATTTTACACATGCTTTGAATTCTAGCCATGGACCTTTCCTCTACACAGTAATTAGGGAACCAGACTCCAGCTCATGGCCTGTCCCATTTTCCCTCCCCTGTACAGCTTTCTTTGCAGTGTCCTGGTGATGGGATACCTTCCTTGCCACCTTGCACTCCTCGCCCAGGGATCTGTATTAATTCCAAGTTTCACTGCTGGTGCCTCCATGACAGTCCTGAAGCATTATCTGACCACTGGTCTTCTTGTTCCCACATGAATTTATGATCTGTTTGTGCTTCTGGAGGAACTGAGTTCATTTTTTATTCCAGGGGTAACAAAGGCAGCTTACTGAGCAAACTGTCCCAAGTATCTGTGGAAACAGCTTTGTTATGGGGGTCAATCTCTTGGCTCTTTAATCTCAAAGGAAAGAATTCAGTATAGAGACAGTTTAAATAAAAGTGTACTTAGCAAAGGAAAGCAAGCACTCCAAAGGGAGATTGAAGTGAGCTGTCCCAAAGGGGAGTGGGCACCTGGATTTTTTAAAGTTTATGAATATTTATGAGGTAGGCTGCATATTCATGAAACGACTCTTGCCCTGCCCCCTTCAAAATTATGGTGGACCACATCTCCTTTTTAGGGTATATCTTCCCATAATCGTTTAGAAATGTCCATGGTGGAGTTCGTCAAAACCACAATGCAAATGATATTATAATGAAGCCAGGGTCTTTTCAAGATGCAGACCTTTCATTAGTTCATATATGGTAACTGGCAATGTGCCTTGGCCCCTTAATTTATGATAATCAGGAAGAACTGCAGTTTCATGAATGTTTAACCGCAAAGATACATTCTGGAAGTCAGGAGACACAGCTACTCAAACCAACCTGCAGTTTTCCTTGGTTACCTTACAGCGAATGCCTTACCTACCCACTATCTGTTGACAGGTTACCACCTGTTACCAACATAGTTCCTTCATTTACTGAAGATATGGTCCATCATCGACTGGTTTGGGAGATCAGACTTTGTAGTGGTATTAGGGGTAGGCGTGTGCCACATTCTTAGTGTGGGTATGCAAACAAGGTGAAAAAAATAGTCCAGTCAGGGAAGCGCTGTCAAACCTGGTGGAAAGGAAAAAGTCGAAGCCCCCCAAAGCTTACTAAAAGTTCACATTCTGGTTCGAAGGTCTCTGTAGGCGGAGATAGAAAAACTTGTAAACAAAAAAAAAGTGTCAGTTTCCTGTTGCCAAGGCGACCAACCGCTTCCCTAGTTCCTTCAGCTGGGGGATTTTGCTTAGCTGCCCCATACCCCAAGGTTACTTTAACAGCTATCAGCAACTCACTTTCTGCAGTTCCGTTGTCTTGGAGGATTGAGCCTGCCCAGCCAGCTGTCAGAAGGTTGTCGTAAAGTTCTGAGATGGGAGGTGGGGACACCTACCCTAACAGTGAGACAGCAAAAAGACATATACATACATGAGGCACAAGTAATGGAACCCTAAACATAAGACACAGTAAAGAGCTGGAGAGGTACGGAAAGGCCAGGGCAGCTAAGGAGAGCAACTGAGCAAGGGCGGGCATGGAGGGTGAATCCTGAGAAAGCTGCGGGTCCAGGGAAAGGGACGGCAGGTGCTCCACGAGCGGATGGAAGGGCCGAATGCCAGAGGGCTGAGCCAACCAGGAGCCGCAATCCCGGGCCAGACGAGCCAGTGTCCTTAGGGACAGGGCAGGGTCCAAAGGAGAACACCCGCGGGCAGTAACTGCCCGCACAACTACCCAAGCCCCGTCCTTCCGCCCCGCCACCGGAAGCGGAAGTGACCGTGCTGTCCACTTCCGGTCGGGCTCCGGGAGGTGGAAGCAGAGGCAGCAGCAGGGTGAGGTACCTCTGGTCTGATGGCTACCGGGCGCTGGGCCCTGTGTCCCTCGCTGGGTTGTTCCCGGGTGAGCGTCCCCGGCAGCCGACCTGGCGGGCACGTCCGCCCCGGCGCCGGGCTCGTGGTGGGTTAGTCCGCTGGCGAGCGTCCCCCGCGGCCAGGGCTGCACAGCCCAGGAGTTCCCTCTGCCCTGCTGCCCCGAAATCCGACAGACCGAGGCCGCCCGTGGAGGGGCTTCCTGGGGACCCTGTGTCTTTTTGTACCTTCTGCTCGGTGTTCAGGTTTATGAGAAGACCCTGCCTTCCAGGTGCTTCGTCAGCTTTCTTTAGGCATTGGACTGTCCTCCACCCAGAGAAGGGGGTCTCACAGGTGATCCTGAGGTGGAGGGGGCGACCTGTGCCACGGGGAGTGACTGGATGCCCAGTTTTTGAGTTTAATACCCAGCCTTGTTATTAGACTCATAGAGGTTTTAATGTCAGTGGAAATGCCGAGGATACATGTCAAAGCAAGAAAACGAAAGCCTGCAATTATAGTCATGTATGCAGTGGAATCTCAACTTAAAAAGAAATAAGGAAGGAAATAAGAAGCAGACAGCCCTGTTAGAAGTAATTGCCCCTGGAATCATATTTTTATGTCCTGCTCAGTGTTCCTAATTTGATGTATATAATTTCATGATTAGAATGAGGAAAGATGATGGTTGCAGTGCTGTTTCACTTGATTGAGAGATGGAAAGAGAGAGATGCACTGACAGAAATTACTTAACTGAAGGTCTACAATGGATTTTCTGGGACTATGTGGGAACTGATAGGTAAAGTAGGTGATGGATAATTGGGTTGATCGGGAGAAAGCACCAGGACACAGATAAAAGTCCAGTGGAATAGAGTTTATTAGCAAAGGAACACATGGACAGATTCCTTTCCAGGTAGGGGAAATGTCTGCCCCCAGGTCCTGAGCTGGGGTCTTTTATAGGGGGAGGCTTCTGGGGGGGTGCAGAAGGGGGGAAGATATATTTTTTTAAAGGTTGAGGGGGCAGGAGAGTGGGACTGTTAAAACTTGCCCCCTTTAGAAATCAAAGGGGAAGCCTGCTGTGTTGGCCAAATAGTGGAGAAAAGTCTGCTTCTCTTAACTTCAAAGACCAGGGGGCTTATTAATTAGGTTCCCTTTTCTCAGGGGCTTGCAAGGTCTGAGGTCAGTAAGGCCCTGTTGGTGAGGGGGTGGGGCTATCTGAACCCTAACAGAAACAAAGAGTGAAAAGTTCCAGAAGATGGGTCTTTATCACATTCATAAAGGTTGAGTAGCTGAAGTCAAAGGGAACAAAGATATTAAGTTGCCTCATTTGCTAGATGTTCAATAATTAGCCCTTGTAGGTCCATGATTAGGATGATATGGGATCTAGGATTGAAGGCAGGTTGGCCTGTTGTCTAAGCATCTATGCTCAGAGGGACAAACTTGAGCAGGGAGGATGTATACTTTTTGCCCTCTCCCCTTTGTTTTTAGATGTCTTAAAAAGTAAGAAGTGGAATCTTGGATACCTGTTGATATTTGAAGGGAGTCATAGAACTTGTCCTTTGCCCAGTGGGCAGGTGAGGTGTATGTGCCGATCTTTGTTCTTATCCTGCCCAAGACCAAGTGTGGGGTAATGATTCCAGAAATGAAAAGTCAGCTCTGTCCAGGGGTAAGAATTGTTTTAGAGATTCCTTTAACTCGGTCGCAGATCCCTGTATAAATATCTTTTGTGTGTTTCTATTTCATATCTATGAGATGTCCTGCTTAAGGTAAAACTTTACCTACAGTTTAGTTCCAAAGATTTGTGGTTTTATTAAGGAGTTTATAATCCAAGTTCAGCTTCCTTTTCAGGTTTACTGGATTAAATTTTGTAGGAATTCTCCTGTGGCTACACTGTGACCAACTGACCATTACATGCTAAGTTTGGTGACATCACTTCAACCTTAGTAACACATCCTCCCCTTTGTATGCAGTGTGCCTGTGGTATGACATGTGCAGAGATTCTGCCAGCTTACTGACCATGAAGGAGACAGACCGGGAGGCTGTTGCAACAGCAGTCCAAAGGGTTGCTGGGATGCTTCAGCGCCCAGACCAGCTGGACAAAGTGGAGCAGTATCGCAGAAGGGAGGCCCGGAAGAAGGCCTCTGTGGAGGCCAGGATGAAGGTAGGGGACTACAGAAGTCATGCCACTCTCAGGCAGGACCCACCTCCCAGCTGGTGAAGTCTGTTTTTTTGGTTTTTGTCTTTTGTTGGTTTTGTTTTGTTTTGTTTTATAGATAAGGTCTGTTAATAGCCTAAGGGATACCAAGGGAGAACAGGAGATAGTGTTCTTCTAAAGATACCATATTAGGTGGCCACAGGTCCTTTGCATGCCTGTGATTGGCCTCCTGTGTCACAAGGTCATAGAGCTATATGAAGGAAAGAGTTTTTTCATTGAACTCTCCCCCCAGTTAGGTTAGGAGTTCAGTGTTACTGAATATTTGTTTAATGCCTACTAGCTGGTCATATAGTACAACACAGTAGGACAGTAGGGCTTAGAGTGACATTTTTCTTTATTTGTACCTTATGTGTATGAGTGTTTTGCCTGCATGTATATAAGTTCACCTATGTTGTGCAGTGCCCATGGAGATCAGGAAGGCATGGAGTCCCTTGAAACTGGAGTTACAGGTGGTTGTTAGCTGCTATGTGAGTGCTGGGAATCAAACCCAGGTCATCTGCAAGAGTAGCCCATGCTCTTAACCACTGAACCATCTCTCCAGCCAGGTGATATTTTTCTTAAGGGAGAAATGTGTAAAACTTTATTTTAGAAAAGGCATTTAAGGTGTTGGAGAGATGGCTCATTGGTTAAGAGCACTGACTGCTCTTGCACAGGACCTGGGTTCAGTTTCCACCACCCACATGGCAGCAGACAAGCATCTGCAACTCCAGTTCCAGGGGTTTTTATGCACCTGTCTTGCTTCTGTGGGCATTACATGCACATGATGCACTTACAAAATGCAGGCAAAACACACACATAAAATAAATATATATTAAAAAAGACCTTGAAGACGTGACATTTAAAATATACATTTTCTAGGTATGGTGACATCTTTATAATTAATTTTTAAGTTAGTGTACAGAATTATGACTTTTTGTTATGACATTTTCATATATATATGTTGTACTTTGCTTATATTCATCCCCCAGAATCTTTCCCCATCTCTCCCCTCTTACTGGTCCCCTTCCTCCCCCAAATAGCCTACTTTCTACTTTCATTTCTCATGTTTATATGCAGATATAGTGTACATGTATACTATATATGTGTGTATATATGTAAATCTAACCCTCACACATGGGAGTAAACAGAATTTTGTTTCTCCTCCCTTAGTATCTCCTCTTGTTTCCCTCTTCTTTAGACCATCCCTTTCCTTCACACCTCATGGTCCTCCTAACCTTCTTTCTTTTTAATTATTATTATTATTATTATCATTATCATTATCATTATTTTACTTCTGCAGAAGGGTGCACAACTGCTCTAAATTTAGCATTTTTGCTTTTTATTTTTATCTTTATGCATGTATTGCATGCATGTGTGAGTGTGCACCCGTGTCATGCAGTCCCCTCAGAGGACAGAAGAAGGTATCAGATCCCCTGGAATTGGAGTTATGGATGGTTGTTAGCTGCCGTGTGGCTGCTAGGAATCAAACCTGGGTCTTCTGCAAGAACAGGCAGTGCTCTTAACTGCTGAACCATCTTTCCGGCTCTGGTCCATGCTTTCATAATCTTGCACTTGGGAGTGCATGCTTGTGTATGTGTGTATTTAAATCTAGTTTCTACATTAGAGAAACCATGCAATCTTTGTCTTTCTGAGTCTGGTTTATTTGACCTAACATGATTACTTTTATTCTTTTTTAAAGCTGAATAAAATTCTGTGTATTTTTCCATTCACCCTTTAATGGGCATCTATGCCAGTTTTCTGTATTTTAATTATTGTGAATACTGCAGCAATAAACATGGATGTACAGGTATCTCTTTGGTATGTGGCTTAGATTCCTTTAAGGATATACCTAGGAGTGATATCACTGGATCATATGGTAGTTTATTTTTTAAGATAACTTCCATTCTGATTTGCATAGTGACAGTCTGTACAGGTTTACAGCCTGACCAGCAGTTTATAAGGTCTCCTCTTTCCATACGTCCTATCATTTGTTGTCGTTAATTTTCTTAGTGATAGCCATTGTGACTGGAGTGAGATAGAATCTCAATGTAGTTTTGTTTGGCTGTTTTGTGGAGTTGTTTTGAGACAAGGTCTTATTGTATAACTCTAGGTGGCTTTTACTCCCTCTATAGCCCAGACTGGCCTCAAATTCACAGTAGTCCTCTGCCTTAGTCCTCAAGTGCTAGAATTACAGTTGTGTATTACCATGCTTACCTTCGGTGTAATTTAAATTGCATTTTCCTGATGGCTAAGGTTGTTGAACATTTTTTTATAAATTTATTGGCCATTTGTATTTCTTTTGAGAGCTGCTCAATTTGTGTGCCTATTGAATGGATGATTTGGGGTGGGGTTGGTGTTTAATGTTTGAGTTCTTTATGGATCCTAAGTATTAATCCCCTGTCAGATGTATAGATAGCAAAGATCTCCTATTCTATCTATAGGCTATCTCTTTACTATTTTGATTGTTTTGCTGTTCAGAAGCTTTTTAATTTCTTGCAGTCCTATTTCTTAGTTCTTATAATTATTTCTTAGACTACTAGAGTTCTTTTCAGGAAGGCTTTTGCCTATGTTTATATCTTAAAGTGTTTTCTCTGTTTTCCCATAGCATTTTCAAAGTTTTATGTTTTGCCTTAAGGTCATTGATCCATTTTGAATAGATTTTTGTGTAAGGTGAGAGATCAAGATCTAGTTTCATTTTCTAGCACCATTGGTAGACACTGTCCTTTCCAGTTACGGTTTTACTTTTGTCAAAAATTAGGTGGGACTACTATCCTCAGGCCTCTTGGGGTAAGTCTATAGCGCAGCTCTCCGCGCCGCGACTCCCTAAGCCATATTCACCCTCCCATCCCTCTCGCCGTTCTGTACTCCTAGTTTGGGCCCTCTGCCATTCCTAGTCTTGGGGCCCCAGACAGCTGGGGAACCAATACTGTTTCCTGATCCTTCTAACCCAGACCAACTCAGTCCCTTTCTTGGGCTCCAGAGGCACCGCTTCTGGTCCTGGCCCCGCCCTCACCTCTCTCTGCTCCCCTGGGCCTGCACCACCGGCTAACTCTCCTAGCCTGCACTACTATCCTCAGGCCTCTTGGGGTAAGTCTATAGCGCAGCTCTCCGCACCGGGTCTCCCTAAGCCACATTCACCCTTCCATCCCTCCCGCCATTCTATACTCCTAGTTTGGGCCCTGCACC